TTTGCAGTTTTTGGCCAGGGCTGGGTTTGAACCCGCCACCTCCAGCATATGGGGCCAGCACCCTACTCCTCTGAGCCACAGGTGCCGCTCTTCCATTAGAATTTTTTTAAATAGTATAATGAGATCAATTGTTCCTTGGAAAAAATTTGAAATGATTTTTAGTTTTAATATGAATATTTTGGAAATGATTCCTAAAAAGTCCAAAAAGCATTTAAAGGAATCACCTAATCCCTTCTTCACACTAACATTATAAATACATACACTGCTGTGATGACAAATATCAAAATGTACTACAATGGCTTTTCTATCCCTGTAGTCACAAACTCACATAGGACAGTATTTTCTTTCTAGCTGTAAAGTCTTTATAAGATATCAGTTTTCTTATAAATGTTCAAAAAGCTTATATTAAATGACTTTTTTTCTATTTGTTCTTTTCCTTTTTTATTAAATCATAACTGTGTCCATTATGGGGTATAATGTGCTGATTTTATATACACTTTGGCATGCTTACATCAAACTGGTTACCACAACCTTCACCTCACTTAATTATTGTGTTAAGGCATTTATACTCTACTCTTAATAGATTTGACATGTACTCTTGTAATATGCACCATAGGTGAGGTCCCACCAATTACCCGTAGGAATATATCCACATGACCAAAAATCGTTTTTGTTTTTCTTTATTAAATCATAACTGTGTACACTAATGCATTTATTTATGAGGTACAATGTGCTGATTTGATATACAATGTGGAATGCTTACATCTAACTGATTAACATAACAATCTCCTCTCTTATGTATTTGTTCTGGTAAGACGTTCACATTCTATTCTTAATAGATTAGAACTGTATCATTACATTATACACACTAGGTTAATCTAAATAAAGGCTTAAAATCAAATTTATTCAATATTCAATTCAATATTATTTTGTTTGTTTGTTGTTGTTTTTTAGAGGGGACAATCTGCTTGACAAAAAGATGTGCCATTAGAGTTCCATAATGAGTCCAAAGGAGATATTATAAGATATCATACAAACCATATATCGTACCAAAGTACAATGATGTGGACCACTAGTGATATATGGACCACTAGAAAAGATGATGTGGAGACACTTGGTGTCCAGAAGACTTGATTCCCATAAGTGTCAGCAACATCCACTGATCACATATCCTCAGAACGTATTTAGTGAGCCCGCACTCTTTATAACCAAAATGGTCGTTCAGGTGGAAGACATCTCTACCCTTTGTGGTAGCGCTGGCTGCTCCACGTCACGAGAGGGCTCCCTAACTGTCCCAGGAATACTCCAGGATATCCTTGGAGTTATGTAGGCCATCCCCAAATATATAAATGTAACAGAGATCTTCAGGAACCTTCCCCCAGCACCGTGGATGGGTGCTACTCTGATGAACTTGTACCTGAGCCAAATTAACTGTTAAATAATTTGAATATCATGCCTGGGTATAATCAAAACTACTCATCAGTCTAATGGAGAACCTTTCCATTTCCTCTAAACTACAGTACCCTGTTGAGCTATTTGACAGTGGTTTCCTTCTAAAAGTTACTCATAGCTCAAAGTGAGATTCAGCTCCATTAAATATACTTCTTTCCTGTACCAGATTCTTTTCAAGTTATGTTTCCTACTTAATGTCTCAGGGTAGCTACGCTTGACTTTGTAAAACAGCGTTTCACATGTCATATAAATTACTACTTCATTTCTGATGGAAACTTTCTAGAAAGAGAATCATTGGAAACTCAATTCAACTAAATAAAAATATTGAAAGGGTCCAGAATGTCTACCTAATAAGTATCTTAAAAATATAAACCCCAAAACAGTGTTTCAAATTACTTCCCATATGCACAGCAACTTTAAATCTTGCCTAGTCTAACCTCATGGCTATAGGGAGACAAAAGATCTTCCCAAAGTTGTGACATTTAGAAAAAGCAGGTTAAGAAAAAAAAATCCCATGTACTCAGTACTATTATGAAACCAATTTACAATCACTCACACTTTCATATGAAGAATAGATCACAACTATAGCCCAAGATGAAGGAGGGAGGCGGGGGGAATGGGTGGGGAGGGGGAGGTCATATCGAGGGGAGGGTGAATGGTGGGATCACACCAATGGTGCATAATCCAAGGGTACATTTTGGATCTATTAAGTATAGAGTATAAATGTCTTAACATAATAACTAAGTAAATGAGATGAGGTATATATTAACCAGGGTGATGTAAGCATTCCTAATTCTATATGAAATCAGCACATTGTACCCCATAAATGCATTAATGTATACATGATCTATGTGTTTATGATTTAATAAAAAATAAAGGTTAGCAATACAAAAATTAAATGTATGGCAATATAGTCCTAAGCTGGTATCTACAAAGATAGGTGAAATAGCAATGTACACTTTTCTCTACACTAATGCAAAAGAAAAATGACTTTTCTTTGTAAAGACCGATTTGCATTTCAAAGTTGATACGACTCCGTGATGCTGAAAAATCAGAAGTTATTTTGGGTAGAAACTAAGTTTGCTGAGTTGAGAATTTTTTACTCTTTCTTAATTTAAACCTACCCTAAACACTTCGTGTGAAAGAACAGAAATTTCAAAAGAAACTTCATTATGTTTGAATATAGGAATTTTCAACTTTTATATAATCAAAAATGACCTGGAAAGATGAATATACATCATATTTGAAACTTTTGTAAAATAAGCTGTTAGTTTAACATCAAATAAAAATCACTAAAGTTTCTCCTCCATAGTTCATAGTTTACTGTTAAAAATTAAATTTATATAGAATTAATGCACAAACTAAAGTCCTAAACTGCATCACACTAAAATCTATAAAACTACAAGACTGATGAAAATAATGTCACATCATAATTGATCATTCATTTCTATGGACACTTGCTCATGTATTATCATTTTTTTCAATCTCTTGACTGATCTAGCCTGGCACAGTGATTAAAAAAATGGGAATCTATAGACCAGTAATGGAAAAATAAAATTTTCCGTTTCAGTTCTAGAAATGCTATAATGTATTAAAGCATATAATAATGATAATACCAAAAAAAAAAAAAGGAAAGAAACCTACCAGAGAACAGAAATTTGACCTTACATCCTCCTGCTTTATTCTAAACATCAATGAATTGGTTATGAATGGGTAACAGACCAGAAATAAGTCATAGCAAGTCTCACAGAAAATAATTAAAATACACAATAGGCTGTTAAAGAGAAAGATCTGCATTAGAAGATAGCATGAGAATTTCAATTTTCAGAAGAAAATGATTAGCTATTTGTAAAATTGCAATTGACTAAATCCCTATCACTGTAATTTTGATACTTAAAATATGTAACAGTGCCATGAAATTTTACTTGTCATAAGGAAGCTTAGAACATAGTCACATGGTTAGAAGCATTTGAAAATAAAATATTAAAATAAAATATTAATGACAAATAGCCATGCATAAAGCAATTAGTTAAAATAGTAACATAACACATCTAAAAATGTAAGGAGACACACAAATGCTCAGAGAAAGGTCTGTTTTAAACCACAGACACGTGCATGAGGCTTAGTGACACAGATCATATCAAGGTTGGGTAGTTTTATAAAGTTTTTAAGACATCACAGATCTGCAGGATAAAGCAGAAAGTCAAACCTAAGGAAACCACCTGTAAAAGGCGTTGACATCTTTCAGCAAAAAGAAAGTCTCCAATACCTGTGAAAGAAATTGTTCATACAGCGGCTAAGTTCATTAAAGTACTGCAAGTCTACACAAATTGAGTACTTGCCCCTTCCGATTTCTCCATCGTGTTAGCCAGCATCTCCTGCAGGGCCCGGACAGAGAGGGACTGTTCCAGCACAAAGGTACAGATGGAGAGGTCTGGGGGGACATTCTGCACAGAAAGAGAGAAAACCATTAGCAATGTATTCATCACCCAGCATCCAGACAGAGTAGACTCAGTAGACTTTGATTTCCTTCTTAGAAAAAAAGTATATTTATCAACTCTCTCCCAGGAGCTGCTAAATCAAGATACACTGTCATTACTGCTCACATTTATCACACTTTTTAAATCACAGATAAAAACACCTGAATGCTTACTCTGATGTGCATTGCACTGGGAACTTTATCTGTAAGTCCTATGGTCACCTACAACAGGGATTATTACCAAGACTGTGTGCACTGGGCAAGAGATATGAACAGAAACTTCTATGACGAAGACTGAGGAATGGCTCACAAACATTTGGAAAAAATGCTCATTGTCCCTGTTCATCAGAGAAATGCAAATCAAAACTACCCTGTAATATAACCTAATCCCAGTAAGGAACAGCCCACATCACAAAGTCTCAAAGAAGCTGCAGATGCTGGCGTGGGTGTGGAGAGAAGGGAACACTTTTACACTGCTGGTGGGACTGCAGACTAATAAAATCACTTTGGAAGGAAGTATAGAGAGTCCTCAAAGAGCTCAAATTAGACCTCCCTTTTGATCCTGCAATCTCATTACTAGGGACCTACCCGCCCAAGAAAAATCCTTCTATCATAAGGACACTTGTGCTAGACTGTTTATCACAGCTCAATTTACAATCGCCAAAATGTAGAAAAAACCTAAATGCCCACCAACCCAGGAATGGATTAACAAGCTATGCTATATGTATATCATGGAATATTGTTTAGCCATTAAAAGATGGAGACATTACACTTTTTGTATTAACCTTAGAACACATTCTTCTTAGTAAATTATCACAAGATTGGAGAAGAATGCAATGTATTCAATTTTGATATGAAGCCAGTAGACAATCTAATACACACCCACATAAGAAAAAAACTCAAATTAATTAAAGTAAGAGGTAGAAGAATGAGAGTGTGGGGAGAAGGGAGGTGGATGGGGGTGTTCCCACTAAATGGGCACAATGTTAGGCTCAAGGACGCACCTCTTGGGGGCAGGACATAATTATAAGAGGGACTTTACCTAACAAATGCAAACATTGTAACAGAATTCTTGTGCCATCAATACAAAAAAAATTCTTGCTATGATTAATGCAAATGTTACAAATACCTTCCAGTCTGCATCTTGCATTTTTACTCTTTCAGTGACATCTTTGAATGAACAAATTTATAACTGTTAAAAGACTGGGTGAACAAGAAAACAGACAAGTTGGATCAAGCTGGTTGACTGGGCGCAGGTAGTATGTGCCTCCTCCATGGAGAAGACCCAGAGAAGTAAGCAGATTCTCATATTTTGAACAGATCATCTAGGAGAGACCCTAAGAGTCACCAGAAAAGCAACAGGAGGCACCAAAACTGGATAAGGAGAGGGCTCAGGAGATCTTCTGTGGCCAGGGGCTGACGGCAAAAGACCAGTTTGGAAGTTGAAAGATAGAAAGGGAGGTGGAGAAAGAACCCTCCCCTTATCCAGCCACACAATGCTGTAGACATAACAACTTCTGTTCTCAAGCACAAGTGGAGGAGATACCCCCAACAGTACTCTGCCTACTATACCTGTGTTCTACATAGAAAGTGCCACCCATTGCCCTCCTCTCACCCACAAACAGTGTTTTGGTTTTTGCAGCTGTCTCAACCTGGGAATCTCAGCCCCTGGGTCTTGATATCATTGAATCCACAGCCAGCACTCCCCAGCACCCACTCAGACTGCAGCAGCCTTGGTGGACTGGTGGGTTCTGAGGAAACCATGGCGTGCCACTTCCACCCAAGAGAAGAGTACAGCACTCCAGAGGGGGGCCCATGGGACAAAAAGAAACAGGGAACCAGCTACTCACTATTTGGGGCCTTCACCTCCTTCTCCCTACCCTGGCCAGGGAAGGGAAACCCAACAGATATTTACAGAAAATTCTACCTCCAAAACACAGAATAGACATTCTTCTAAACAGCACAGTGAACATTTTCCAAGGTAGACCTTAAGTGGGACCACAAAAGAAGTCTCAGCAAATTTAAAAAACTCAAAATCATATCATGTATATTCTCAGATTACAGTGGAATAAAGTTAGATAACACTCCAAAATATATGCATAGATGGAAATGAAACAATGTACTGTGGAAGAATCTTGGGCCAATGAAGAAATCAAGACAAAAAGTTCATAAAAAAGTTAGCCGAATCATAATGGCTACACAAACTACCAAAATGTCTGGGATACAGGAAAAGTAGTGCTAGCAAGAAAATTCATAGTACTGAATGCCTACATCAAAAGGATAGAAGGATCATAAATTAACAACTAATATCACTCTTGCAGGGAGCTACAAAATCAAGAACAAAGCAAGCAGAAAACAAGAAATAACAAAGATCAAAGAAGAACTAAGCAAAATTGAAACCAAAAACCAATACATAGGATTGATGAAACAGAAAGCTGGTTCTCTGAAAAGATAAACAAAATCAATGACCACTACCTAGATTAACCAAGAAAAGACAGAGGTACAAATTAGCTCAATCAGAAATGAAATGGAGACACTACAACTGACACCTCAGACATACAAATGATCAAAGACCACAGTGAACATTCTTTCACACAAAAACCTAGAAAATATAGAGGAAATAGATGTTTGGAAACACACAATCTCCCAAGCTTAAATCAGGAAAAAATCCTGAACAGAATAATAAGAAGCAGCAAGACTAAAATAGTATTAAAAAAAAAAAAACCCTCCCAAAAACAAAAGTCCAGAACCAGAGAAATTCACACCTGAATTATACCAAACCTACAAAAAAAAAAAAAAAAAAAAAAAATGGCAACTATCTTACTGAAACTGTTCCATAACATTAAGAAGAAATAATCCTCCCTAGTTCTTTTAATAGTGGCAGTATCACCCTGATCCCAACCAGGAAAGGATGCAACTAAAAGGGAAAACTACAAACCAATATTCCCCATGAACACAAATGCCAAAATCTTCAACATACTACTACCAAAATTAATCCAATCACATCAAAAAAGTATTTTTACCATGAACAAATGGGTTTCACCCTAGAAATGCAAAGATGGTTCAACATACACAAATCAATCTGTGTAGTTCACCACATGATTAAAAGCAAAAACCATATGATCATCTCAGTAGGAAAATATACACAATTAAAAGCAAAAGCCATATGATCATTTTGGTAGGAAAGCATTCAATAAAATTAGCACCCATCGTGATATAAACCCTTAACAAATTAGATACAGAAAAAAAAACCTCAAAATAACAAAAGCTGTATGTGACAAACCCATAGCCAACATCATACTAAATGAGGGGAAAATAAAAGCATTCTCCCAAAAAACTGGTATAAGACAAGGATGCCCATTTTCAACACCTCTATTCAATATAGCACTGGAACCTCTAGCCAGAGCATTCAGACAAGAGAAAGAAATAAAAGGGATCCAAAGCAGAAAAGAAAAGGTCAAACTATCTCCGTTTACTGATGATATGATCTTATATTGAGAAAATCCTAAATATTCCTCCAAAAGACTTCTAGGATTGATAAATAAGTTCAGTAAAGGCTCCAGTTACAAAATCAATGTACTCAAATTAGCAGCATTTTTATACACTAATAACAGACAAGCTGAGAGTGAAATCAAGAACTCTATCCCATTTACAATAGCTACAAAAAATAAAAAGCTATCTAGGCATAACCAAGGAGGTGAAATATCTCTACAAGGAGAGCTACAAAATACTAGTGAAAGAAATCACTGCTGATACAAACAAATGGAAAATTATCCCATGTTTGTGGATTGGAAGAATTAATATTGTTAACATGTCCATACTTCCCAAATGACTTATTTAATAAAATGCTCATCAAAATTTCAACATAATTTTTTACAGAATTAGAAAAAAAATAATCCTACAGTTCACATGGAATCAACAAAGAGCTCAAATAGTCAAAACAATCCTAAGCAAAATGAACAAATCTGGAAGCATCATACTGTCTGACTGCAAATTATACTACAAGGCTATAGTAATCAAAATAACATAAGTATAAAAGCAGACATACAGATCAATATAACAGAATAGAGCACCTAGGAACAAAACCATATACCTACAGCCAACTGAATTCAACAAAGCAGACAAAAACTCGCACACAGAGGAAAGGAGGTACTAATCATCAAATGATGGTGGGAAAATTGGAAGAAATTTTCCACGTGTAGAAAAATTAGGTGTGATCCCACCAACCTATGGTTCATCCTATAAGGGTACATGTGAATCTCCCTAATTGTAGAATATAAATGTCTTAACACAATAACTAAGAAAAAGACATGAAGGCTATATTAACCAGTTAGATGAAAATATTTCAAATTGTATACAGAAACAGTACACTGTACCCCATGATAGTATTAATGTACACTGCTATGATTCAAAAAATAAATAAAAATAAATAAATAAAAAGGAAGCAATGACGTCTACCTAAAAATAAATAAATAAATAAAATAAAAAAGAAAAATTAAACTGGATCCCTATTTCTCACCATACATAAAAATTACCTCATGATGGATCAAAGAATTAAATATAAAACTAGAAACCATAAATATGCTAGAAGCAAACGTAGGAGAACTCTTCTGGATGTTGGCTTAGGCAAAGAATTTATAACCGAGACCCTCAAAGCAAACACAAGAAAAACAAAAATAAATAAGTGGTGGACTTAGTTAAACTAAAAAGTTTTTTCATAGCAAAAGAAATAATCAACAGTGTAAACAGACAACCTACAAAATGAGAGAAAATGTTAATAGGATATACATCTGACAAATGACTAACATTTAGAAATCTACAAGGAACTCAACTAATCAGCAAGAAAAAAACAAATAACCTCATTAAAATGTGGGCAAAAGACATGAATGGACATTCTCCAAAAGAAGACAAACAAATAACCAACAGACATATGAAAAAATGTTCAATATCACTAATCATCAGAAAAGT